TTCACTTGTTCTCTGACGATTCGATCGACGAGGCTTTGATGAACCTACCAGATATCGACGGATGGCGAGTACCATCTAAACCCCAACGTCCATTACCGTTTTTGAGGAATCCCCATCACAGTCCTCAGACGCAACAACTATGAAAGATAGCCAGTTCAGCACCCGGCACGACGAACTCACAAACACGCAAACAAGCACAGCTGAAACCTTTGTGGTCGAAACACAGGATGAGAGCCAAGGCCAGAGCCTCATTTCCCAGCCACCCAAAAGCACTCCGGTTCGTTCGCTACAGTCTTTCGCCTACAACCAGACACGTTCAGCCGCGGCCCTCGGCTCGCCTGCGTCGGTCAGGTCGCAAGCAGCATCTGTCTTTACACCGTCGACTGGGGCACCATCGACTGCCGCCTCTTCTGTTGCCTTTTCGGCGACACAATCTACCACCCAGCCCTCTATCACCCAGGCTTTGAAGAAGCAACATTTGACGCCACTCCAACGCATTGGCGAGCGCGCCCTCTCCCGCAAACAGATGACACACAACCGACCTCGATCGCCAAAGGCTAGCCCTAAGAGGCGCAACCAGCGAAACAGCGTGATGGCATTGCCTGTCAATCCTTCTTTCGTCCCTCTGCCCAAGGTTGATCTTGATGAGGTTGAGGCTCTCAACAGGCCAGTGGGTAGTGAAGACATGATCCCTGATAGCGACGAGGAGAATGATCTGGACGACGAGAAGCATGGCGGCATCGTGGGTGACGAAAATAGCGGCAACGCAAGCCTGAACCTTTCACGGTTCTTGTATGCTTGAGGTCAAGACTGGACAACAAGTCTTGGAAGACAGGTGAACCGAGTATCTATACACGATGACACCCACGTATAGACGGAACCCGGTACTGTGCCGGTTCAAAAATTCAGGCGGCCGTGTATGTGTCTCGGAGTGGGCGTCTTGTTGAAGTGCAAGAATTTTGTATTATACCCAAGCCTGTCGGATGGACAGCATATTCTCTGCGATGGACAGGAGTCAGTGGCTTTACATGTAGGAGTTAGGCGAGCAGGGAGGGAGGATCGGCCGGTTGGACTTTGAATCATCATCATGCGAGGGTTGTCAATGAAACCATGAACCAATAAGCCCACGAAAGCGACTACTGTGCCTGTTGTTCTTTTTTCGACGCAAACGTCACTGCATCCGTACCCGAGCCAGCCCGAATTGAGGTGAGATACCACCTGCCTAAGTACTTACCCAAGCAGCTATCTAGGTAGGCAAGGTAGGTAAATAGGCTTCAGCGGCATCGCCATAGGGCTGGTGGTGGCTCTTTTTCCATGTAGGATTGAACCAAAAGGAAAGCCCCTGCTTGCGCCCGAAGTATCCCCGGTCCCCCAAAGCGGGTCACATGTCCCTTGCCCCTGTGCTGTCCAGTCACGGCATCGCCTGACGCCCCTTGCCCCCTTCCCGCGTCATTCGCCCTGTGCCGACCAGCTGGATTCGAGCCTCCACTGGCCCAAAGGCCGCCATCAGCCTGGCAAGCCTGGTTTGAGGCCGCACCAGCCGCACCAGCCGCACCCGACACACCACCACCACGCTCGAGCCCCGGGACTCTCACCTTATCGATACCATACAAGGCACCAACGCGACTGCTTCCCCCATCTGAACCAGGATCTGATCTTCGACATCCATCGGTATCCTCCTATTTCACCACTCGATTCATAAGCATATCAACAGTGCCTTTTGGCCCCCCCCGTCCCTGTCTACCAAGCCCTGGCCAGCGCAACAACGCAGGACTCTACCAGCAAGTGACGTTGGTACTTGGTTCGCCTTTGCTTGCCTCCCCGCTCGAGTCACGCAACCCCTCAATCCTCGGCCACGGCTTAGGAAGTCTTTGTCGAACAGCATCATCTCTGGCCCGTTTCCTTGCGGGCTACCCATCACGCCCTCCGCACTCCACGCCCGACCGCCATTTCCAATCACACCCCTCGCGGCCGCCACCATTCCTCCCACGACGAGGAAGCGAAAGGCCGCTGAGGCGACGATCTCCTCCCAGCCTGCTGTAGCACCACCCAGTAAGAGGATCGCCTCAGCTGCCACGCTGCAACCACAAGCCCCGCCAACACCCGCCACCAACGGCATGGATTCCGAGGAAGACTTCATGTCTGCCATGTCGAGTGATGAGGAGATGCAGGAGTTCTCCGACGACAACGATAGTATGTGTCCCCGGCCCCCAGCCAACCCTTTGCATCTCGACCGCCTGTAGCTGACCTTCTTTGGCCTTTAGACTTTGAAGATGAGTTTGACGAAGAAGACCCCGACTTTGGCGTAAGCCAAGACGCCGAGAACAAGAAGAAGGTTGCCTACGATATATCCTACAAGGTGTATGAGCCTACGGACATTCAACGACAACAAGATGACATGATCGACGAGGTCAACATGATCCTAAATCTTCGCAAGGAAGATGTGGCTATCTTGTTACGACACTTCCGCTGGAACAAGGAAAGATTGATCGAGGACTACATGGACAGGCCGAACAAGGTTCTCGAAGCGGCAGGACTTGGCACAAACGTAACTGGCCCTCCACGACTCGAAACCATACCCGGATTCATGTGCGACATCTGCTGTGAGGATGATGCCGACCTTGAGACATTTGCCATGAAGTGCGGTCACCGATACTGCGTCGCTTGCTACCGACACTACCTGAACCAGAAGATCAGGGAGGAGGGCGAGGCGGCGCGCATCCAGTGCCCCGCTGACCGTTGCGGTCGGATTCTCGACTCCAAGTCGCTCGACATTCTCGTGACACCAGAACTGAGCGGGCGGTATAAGGAACTGTTGAACAGGACCTATGTGGAAGACAAGGATGCTCTCAAGTGGTGCCCAGCACCAGACTGCGTCAACGCCGTTGAGTGCGGCGTCAAGAAGAAGGATCTCGACAAGGTAGTGCCCACGGTTGCCTGCGCCTGTGGCCACCGGTTCTGCTTCGGCTGCATCCTGACTGATCACCAGCCGGCCCCCTGCAGCCTGGTCAAGCTGTGGCTGAAGAAGTGCGCAGACGATTCGGAAACGGCAAACTGGATATCGGCCAATACAAAGGAGTGCCCCCGCTGTAACAGCACCATCGAGAAGAACGGAGGCTGCAACCACATGACGTGCAGGAAGTGCAAGCACGAGTTCTGCTGGATGTGCATGGGTCTGTGGTCCGGAACACGGCACGAGCTGGTACAACTGCAACCGCTTCGAA